TAGGGCAGTCCTGCCTCATGCTCCAAATATGGTGAATTTCCAGGATGCATTCAGGACCTTGCCCACTGACTTCCCACAAAAGCTATTTGAAAATATCAGTGAAAGTAAAGGTGGACTATGACCTAGACATTGTTCTACTTACTGTATCTTTTATGTAATATTTTGAATAATAGCCTTTCTTCATATAGCTAGATTTATGCTTCCTATTCAGTTTTCTAAAACTTAATGATACACTGTTTAGGAATACACGACAGGTATTAAAACTTTTAAGAGAAGAGAGGGAGTAATTAACATGGTTAGGAAAGACCTCTGGGGTAGAGTTGCAGGCTACAACTAGACAGGGGCACACAAAGCTCTTCTAAAAAGTAAGGTAAAGTTCTATTTTGTTAAGCTAGGTGATGAAAAGTGTTTGTTTGTATTATTATTGGTCTGTACACTGTACATATATTTATATATAGTTTGATTTATACAGTAAGTAAAAGATATTAATATGGTCTATGTTGATGAAAATATACGTGTAGCAAATGTTATCAGCAAAATACAAAACATATTTTTGCCCTTTTCTATTTAATGGTAGTTTTCAAAGGTAAAAACTTTACCTGTCGAAGGTATAATTTCAAGACGTCACAGATGTCATGCGAACTAAACTCTGAAATGTCTACCAAGTGCATTCCATTTTCCAAAGCTTGACAAAGTTTTTCAGTTTTTATTTTGTTTCCACATACACGATAAATTCCCTTGAGAAGAAAGGGGAAAATTTTTTTAAAATTCTGCTTTAGTACAAATGGCTAAATGTGGACATCTAAATATCTGATGTGTCTGTTTCAATGTTTATTAATATTTTAGAAAAAAACTTGGGCCAAATAAGGTAATATTTTCCAAATAAATCTGAATAAAATCAGTTACTTCTTAAAAATTAAAAGCACTGCTTTCTTTTCCTATCTTTTCTTTTTTTTTTAGGCGAGGCAACTCTTGGTTGACCTCACAGATTGCAAGGACCTTGTCAGTTTACAATCCCGTATTTTTAAAATTTTTTATTTATTTTTTTAAGCCTACAGTACGTGGTTTTCCTATGTGCTCGCCCATCCAAGTACTAACCAGGCCTGACCCTGCTTAGCTTCCAAGATCAGACAGGATAGGTCTTGTTCAGGGTGGCATGGCCGTAGATAAGCACTGTTTTCTTTTAAAGTCTCCTTATCATGAGAACAAATCACACAGGCATTTGTTTAAAAATTTTTATTTTAAGAGTTACAACATACCTGTAGACACAAGGCTCTGTTTTCAATCTCTGTAGCACATATTTTGAGTATAAAAGGGATGCCATCTGGTTCCTTTTTTGCAACTTGTGTGAATTCTGCTCCAAATAAGTGTATTTTCCCCAGAAGTTTCTGATGACCACAAATGATGACTAAATTTTCCAAACACTTTCGGTGACAAACAAGGAGACACTGCAAGAAAATGATAGTTTAAAACTGGTTAACTTACCTTAAAACTATTCACAACAAACTATAGGTAGTGTAACACAATGAAAATGCGTTTAGAAGGTATTATTTGTGGTATTTAAAATACATTTAATAGCAAAATAAAATATAATATTATGGAAGGTACATTGTGGTTCAATTTATTAAAATTATATTTGCAAAACAGCCTAGTCAGTAAAATTAATAACAAAAAAGTAAAGCAAAAGCATAAAGGGGATAATGTAATTCCAAAAAGATCTTACCTCTTCACATTCAACACCTTGGAATACTACAATGCCTTCACAATCCCTACATTTTGTGGGGGATCTCAGTTTGTGAAACTTGTGGGTGAGAGCTGCCTTTGACATCAACGTTTTCTTATATGTTCCAAGGGAATTGGGTCCTTGCAACAGAAATAGATTACTATGTAAGACTTATAAAATGACAAAAATTATAACATACGATAGTGTATTTTGAAAAATCTTTAGACTTTGCAATCATTCCTATATTATGTAACATCAAAATAAGCATCTAATTTAGAGATCTCTCACAAGGCACACATTTATCAAACATTTTAGTGATGAGTAAAAATCACCACCAAACCAATAAGATACTTCTAAAATAGCACGGTATAATGTTTTCAGAATTAGAAAATTTACATGTTATTAATATGTCCTTTATAGAGATGGAAAGGGCGTTACGTAGGTGGCATTACATTCTTAGAAAATGCCCCTATAAAAGCTTCAAAGAAAACTTGCTGTATGAGGTCAGTGTGTCAGCATTATTTGCATTAAGGATAAATCTATTCTTAAATTATGATAAAATTATAGATAGTATTAGCTAGTTATACATCAATATCCTACTGGAGATTAAATGTTATATTACTTTAGGAAGTGATGCCAAAACAGGTAACTGCAGGTTTCAAATACACAAAACTAATTTATATGAGTCTAAATTAAGTCACTAAGGTAACAGATATCTCTTTTATAACCTTTAACATCCACAATTTTCCTTATCCTCAAGAAATATACTTATTTACTTTTCCT